TCAGCCTTCCAAGTAGCCGGCATCACAGGCATGCGCTACCACGCTTGGCTGATTTTTCGATATACTAGAGATGAGGTCTCGATGCCCAGGCGGGTCATGAACCCGCGGGCTCAGGCAATCCACTCACCTCAGCCTCCCAAAGGCACGGGATTACAGGCTGAGCCACCGAGCCCGGCTTAAAATTATATTCTTATTGAGAAAATTGTTTTTTATGTAATCTGCAGGTTAAGTCATTTATAAAAAAAGGTAGAAAGAAATCAGTGAGTAGTAAATAGTTATGAATATAAAGATACATTTTTGATAAGAAAGGTTATAAAGAAAATTTTATGAGAAAGAATCTTGTGAATTTCTGTTCTAAAACAAAATGACTGGTTATTTTATTTTATTTTATTTTATTTGAGTTGGAGTCTCACTCAGTCGCCCAGACGGGAGTGCAGTGGCCGCTCCTGGCCACCGCAGCCTTGCTTGCTGGGCTCTGGTGATCCTTCCACCTCAGCCTTCCGAGTAGCTGGAATTACAGGTGCGTGCTACCATGCCCAGCTGATTTTTTGATTTATTGTAGAGATGAGGTCTCACTGCCCAGGCAGGTCTCGAACCCGCGGGCTCAGGCAATCCACTCACCTCAGCCTCCCAAAGGCGCGGGATTACAGGCTGAGCCACCGAGCCTGTCTAAAAATATTTTTTAAATTTTAATGCAATTAGAAAATGTATACAGGTAACACCTTACCCCTCCCTTTGTTGTTGTTGTTGTTGTTGTTGTTGTTGTTACAGACAGGATCTTGCTATGTTGCCCGGGCTGGTCTCAAACTCCTTGGCTCAAGTGATCCTCCAGCCTCAGCCTCCCAAAGTGCTGGGATTATAGGCATGAGCCGATGTGCCTGCTCCATTCCTTCCCCCCTTTAAAATAAGGTGTACTTTAATAACTTTTTAAAAAAATCAGTTCTCTGGCCAGGCATGGTAGTTCATGCCTGTAATCTCAGCAATTTGGTAAGCTGGTGGGAGGATCCCTTGAGCTCAGTAGTTTGAGGCTGCAGTGAGCTATGATCCCACCACTACAACCAGACTGGATGACAGAGGGAGATGCTATCTCAAAAAAAATAATAATAATAAAAGGGTTCCTTAGTTGCAGTGGGGAAAGAGAAAGAGAATTTTTCTAACACTGATTTTAGAACTATTTTAATTTTTATAATAGGTGGTCTAGATCTATTTTTAATTATTAATAAGTATAATATTTCAATTAATTTCTGCATGCACATACCTCTTCTGTATTTAAAAAATTTTCCTCAGATTCAAGTATCAGAATGGAAACAATTGGGTTAAAATACATGAAGATATTTGTGGTTCTTTACTCTTTCTGAGAGGGTATATCCATATACACTCCCAATCACACTACTGTGAAACTATTAAGTTCCAACCCACTTTTTAAAAAAAATTTTCTAATTAATAGAATATTTTATTTGATTATATTATTTCCTTAGATATATTTGCTGAGTATATTTTAAATGAGGAACATCTGATTCCTCCTCTGAAAAATGCAGTGTCTCATTTTATTCTGCTGAATGAAGCTTTTTCCAGGCTAGTACTACGTGTGCTTACAACTGAAGACTTTTAATGATGCCAGGAAGGAACTGGTTGACATTTTTTTAAAGCGCTAACTGGAGCTTGAGTATAGTTTCCGTCCAGGGTGCTGAAAACATTCCTGGAGGCAACTGTGGCTCTTTTGGAATATTTTATGACCTCTTTCAGTTATCTGTTGAAATCCCATGCACCTCTGTCCATCCCCCCAGAAGGAGCAGAGACCAGTGCAGATGATGTATCAGGAGGCCACATTGAGGCTGGCCCACCTGGATGAGCTGCGCGCACAGGTGTTGGAGTTGCCCTACGCTGGCCAGGAGCTGAGCATGCTGGTGCTGCTGCCTGATGACGATGTGGAGCTCAGCATGGTGAGACCCGTGCCTCCTGCCAGCGTCTGCCCTTTGTGGGTGGAACTCGAGCGTCACTTCCACCTTTTGTATTTACCTATCGAGCTGGCCATGTGAGCATGCCTGCCTATAGAGCACACTGTGGGGCACTTGGCTTTGGGGTTGAACTCTTGGTTAAGACAGACCTCTCCCATTGCCACCTGCCCCATCTGCCACATTACCCATCTCAGCTAGCATGGGGGTAATGATATTTAACTGATAGGGTTATTATGAGGGGGTGATTCAAGTGACAAGCATAGTGCGTTTTCTGGCCATTAGTAAACTTTTAAATGGATCAGCTATTATAATTGGCGTTATTAGCATTATACTTTAAAATCAAAGAATCTGAATGAGACTATGACAGAGTGTGGCTTTTACCTCAAGGCTGGGAGGAGTGCATTCAGGGAAGTGTTAAACCTGATGCTTGGTGACTGGAGCCAGAGAGAGCCCGGAATAGCCCTTCATGCTCCTTGCTTCCTTTCGGCCTGGATGCCAGGATGAGAGAGTCCACCATCACCTGAATGGCAGGCAGTGGGGCCTATGGCCTAAGGGGTCTTGGTGAGGAGAGCCATAGCCATTGGCTCTTCCTCTATCCACCTCCCTAGCTGTGACATCTCTTTCCAAAAGCCACACAGAATCTCTCCTAGGACAGAGTCCCTTCCTGCAGTGGCTCACAAGGGAGCCCTTTCTTTTCCAATCTTTTTCCTTTTCCTTACCAGCAATGGTTTGTTCTCTTCAAAAATAAGCGTCGTTTTTGTTTTGTTTTGTTTTAAAAATATAGTCATCTGGACATTGACCCTTGTCTCAGATTTTTTGGGTAAAAAAAGGACAGCCAAAACCTTCCTGCCTCTAGGCTGCTTGGTGTCTCCCTGCTTAGCAAGGAAGTGGTATATGGAATAGTACATGGGATGCAGAGCGCACAAGCCTCCTAATCCTGCATGAATACTCAAGGCCATCTGGAAGAGGAGGAAGAGTACTTTGAGTGGGTGCGCCTGTGTGCTTGCACATGTGCATCAGAGTTTGAATCTTCAAGTCTAATTCTGGTCTTTCAGGTGGAAAAAAATCTCACTTTTGAGAAGTTCACAGCCTGGACCAAGCCAGACTGTATGAAGAGTACCGAAGTGGAAGTTCTCCTTCCAACTTTTAAACTGCAAGAGGATTATGACATGGGGTCTGTGCTTCAGCGTTTGGGCCTGGTTGATCTCTTCCAACAGGATAAGGCTGACTTGTCGGCCATGTCAGCTGAGAGGGACCTGTGTCTGTCCAAGTTTGTGCACCAGAGTTCTGTGGAGGTGAATGAAGAAGGCTCTGAGGCGGCGGCAGCCTCGGCCATATTGGTTGTAGAGTGCTGTGCGATAATCGGCCCAAGGTTCTGTGCCGACCATCCCTTCCTTTTCTTCATCAGGCACAACAGAACCAACAGCCTTCTGTTCTGTGGCAGGTTTTCATCTCCATAAGGGCTGCGCTTACTGTACCCATGAGCATTTCACCTTTTCTGCACCACCGAGTCACCCCTACAGCTTCATGAGGATAGGCCTAGAAAGCCAAGTGCAGAGATGAGGGTAGATTCCTCACCCGTCGGAATAATTTGTCCGCATGATTTCATGTTGCTCTGTACTTTCCCATACAGGTTGCTCACTTATGCTACTAAACCAAGATCGTGGGAGAACAGACCTAATGATCCCTTGTTGTTTTTAAGTTGCAGTCCAAATCCCATAGGATGGCATGCAAAGTTTTTCTAGACTCCTACATGCAATTCATTCTGATTCGTGTGCCTTCGTGGACCTCAAATCTTTTCACATACTTGCCTTAACCTGAAGGTCTCAATACTAATCAATGTTGCTAGATATGTTACTACTATATTATAGTTTTCCTGATGCTTGGACTTTAAAAAAATGTTCCCTTTTTTTTTTGAGTTGGAGTTGTACTCTGTCGCCAGTGTTAACCTGCTGGGCTCCAGCGATCTTTCCACCTCAGCCTTCCAAGTACCTGGAACTACAGGTGCCCACCACCATGCTTGGCTAATTTTTTTTTTTTTTTTTTTTGAGTTGGAGTCTCACTCTGTCACCCAGAATGGAGTACAGTGGCCGCTCCCGGCCACCACAACCTTGCCTGCTGGGCTCCAGCGATCCTTCCACCTCAGCCTTCCGAGTAGATGGAATCACAGGCACGCGCTACCACGCCCAGATGATTTTTTGATTTATTGTAGAGATGAGGTCTCGCTGCCCAGGCGGGTCTCGAACCCGCAGGCTCAGGCAATCCACTCACCTCAGCCTCCCAAAGGCACGGGATTACAGGCTGAGCCACCGAGCCCGGCTTAATTTTTTTGATTTGTTGTAGAAATGAGGTCTCGCCAAGTTGCCCGGACTGGTCTCAAACCCATGGGCTAAGGCACTCCACTTACCTCGGCTTCCCAAAGTGCTGAGATTACAGGCTGAACCATCGAGCCAGCCTTAAAAATGTTTCTTGATGGCTAGGCGCGGTGGCTCATGCCTATAATCCCGACACTTTGGGAGGCCAGGTGAGAGGATTGCCTGAGTCCAGGGGTTTGAGACCAACCTGGGCAACTTGGTGAGACTTCATCTCCACAATAAATCAAAAAATTAGCCAGGTGTGGTGGTGCGTGCTTGTAGTTCCAGCTACTTGGAAAACTAGGGTGAAAGGACAGCCTGAGCCTAGCCAGACAAGACTGTGGTGGCTGTGAGCGTGCTACTGTACTCCAACCTGGGCAACAGAGAGAGACTCTGATTCAAAAAAAAAAAAAAAAATCACCAAAAATGTTTCTTGAATGCACATTTATGTTTTATCTTTTTTCAACGTTTACCAATTACCATGTATGTGCTAAACACTGCCTTAGGTGACACAAAGAAGGCAGAATCATTGTTTTTTGACACCTGATCTTTAATATCTGCCCAACTTACATTGATTTTACAACCAGATTAGTCTACTTAATGTCTTTAAACTTATTATGTGACCCCTTTGTAAAGGGATCACATCTTTCTCCAGGTTATTTTATTTCTCCACCTCTAACTCTAACAGTATAAATTCCATTTAATCCTTAAAACTCATATCAAATGTCTTCTTTGAGAAGGTTTTCCTTTTCTCCTTAACCAAATGTACATCTTTGAACCCTCCTTTACCCTTGAAGGGCACTTCTTTCATGGTAATTGCTTTACTTATTAATCTTCTGTGTCCTTATGTAGTCCTCCAACATGATCTTAAGTTCACTAAAGATTGAGACTCTATCTTACAAATCTGTGTGCCACATATAGTGCAGTAAGAAGTAATTGATAACATATGATCTATGTAACTTTTTATTTTAGTGGTTTGATAGCACTGACTTTACTGGGGCTTTTAAATAATTTTTATTATGGTGAAATTTACAAAATAGAAAACTAACCATTTAAAAGTGAACAGTTTAGTACCATTTAATGTGCAAACAATGATATATAACCACCTTTATCTAGTTCAAAAAAAAAAAGTTCTATCATCCCAAAAGGAAAACCCATATCCATTAAGCAGTCACTCCCGTCTCTCCTGCTAGCCTATGGCAACCACCAATCTGTTTCCTGTCTCTGTGGATTTGCCTTTTCTGGATATTTCATATAAATTGAATTATAGATGACCTTTTGTGTCTGGCTTGTGCATTTAACATAAGTTTTTGCAGTTTGTTTACACTGTAGCATGAGTCAGCACTTCATTCCTTTTTGTGACTGAATACTATTCTGTTGTGTGAATATAACATAACTTGCTTTATATACTCATCCATTGAGGTACATTTGGGCTGTTTCTGCCTTTGGGCTATTGTGAAAGTTTTGCCTAGAATATTCATGTTCAGTTATGTGTTTGAATACCCACTTGCTATTTTTTGGGTATATATCCAAGAGTGGAATTGCTGGCTTATATGGTAATTCCATGTTTAAGTTTTTGAGGAGCAGCCAAACTGTTTTCCACAGTTACTGAACCATTTCATATTCCCACCAGCAATGTATGAGAGTTCCAGTTTCACTTCACATCCTCACCAACACTTATTTCCCTTTTCCTTTTTTAAATAAATAAATTATGGCCATCCTAGTGGAATGACGTGGTATCTCATTGTGTTTTCAATTTATATTTCCTATGTAAGCATTAGAAACTAAAGGACAAACTAGATGAGACATCCTGTCTCATGGATAGATGATACTGATTAAAAACAGAGATGGAATGAAGCATACAGCTCAATATCTTTTATGTAAATTATGAACACCTGCAACATTATGTATTACACAAGGATACATATCAGTTGCTTTTTTATTATAGGTAAAAACTTTTTCATGTGTTTATTCACTTTTGAATTTCTTCTGTGAATTGTTTATACATTGTTCACAGGTTTGAGCAGAAAAGTTCAAAGTTTGCTGTTTTGTTGTGAGTTTTATTAATTTTTACATATCTCTTTACCTATTAAAGATATTATCCCTCTCTGTTTTCGTCATTCTGTTGCTGGATTTTAAATTTTGTTGTGATATTTTCAACAGGGTTTTTTCCCTTTGTAGTAAAATCTAGCTTTTCCTTTCATGATTTCTGGCACTACTTTCATTCTTACAAGTATTTTCCCATTGAGAAACAAGTTATGTAGAATAGTCAGCTATTCTTTTTCTAAACTTTTACTTTTTAAATGATTTAGCTATTTCATCCACGTGGAATTTGTTTTTACATTACTGAAATTCAGGAGAAAACATAATTTTGTTTATTTATGAATAGTCAGTTTCTGGATATTATATGTAAAATAATCTGTTTTTCCCCAGTGTTCATTTCTATTTTTTCATATATATTCTTCTAGGTGAACTTCAGAATACTTTTTCAATTAAAAAAATAATTTCTTAAACTTTGAGATATTTCGGGGGGAGAGATTAGAATGACATTAAGCATATAAATTACTTGGGTAAATTAACATATTTACAATGTTTAATCTTATCACTCGGGAATTAAGAAGAACCATTTATTCAAATGCTTTTTTAATATGTCTATAATTAAACCGTTTTTTAAGTTTTTAAAAATAGAAGTCCTACATAGTTACTGTTTTTCTTGTTAAGGCTATTTCTCAATATTATTTTCATTGTAACAATAGTAAACAAGACTATGTGCCCTCACCTAATTATGGATGGCATAAAAGTAAACCATTAAAGTTTGTACATTTATCTGTGTGACCAATTTGGTGTACTCTTTTAGTAATTTAAGAGTTTTCCTACTTGGAAGGCTGAGGCGGAAGGATCACCTGAGCCCAGCAGGTCAAGGCTGCAGTGGCCATAAGTGTGCAACTCTACTCCAGCCTGGGCGACAGAGTGAGATTCTGACAGAAGAAAAAAAAAAAGTTTTCAATAGATTTTCTTGGGATTTCTGCTATAGGATTATACAATACATAAACAATCTTTACTAAGTGTGTAATTGTATGTACCAATAATAGAGAGTACATCCTTCTAATTATTACATCTCTTGATTCTGCTTTTTATTTGTTTTGCTTTTGTCGTTTCTGCATAACCCAGGCATTCTGAGACAGAGTGCTATGACTTGGATATCTATTCCCCTAAACCTTGTGTTGAAATCTGACCTCCAGTGTTAGAGGTGGGACCTAATGGAAGGTGTTTGGGTCACTCATCCTTCCTGAGTGGTTTGGTGCCTTCCTGGAGATAATAAGTTTTCGTTCAATTTATTCTCTGGAGAATAGGTTATTAAAAATAGCCTGGCACCTTCCCTTTCTATCTTGCTTTCACTTCTTGCCATGTTATTGGCATACACTGGCCCCCCTTCACCCTCCACCATAACTAGAAACGGCCTGAAGTCCTCCCCAGAAGCAGATGCTGGCGCCATGCTTCTTGTACAACCTGCAGAATTGTGAGCCAATAAGCCTCTTTTCTTTAGACATTACCCGACCTTAGGTATTCATTTATAGCAACAAAAATGGACAAAGACACAGAGTGTGCAATCTTGATGGGAATTCTTGTGCTGCTCTTTGTTTTAATTTGGAGGTTGATAATATCCAGTATTGGTGAGCATCTGAGAAAATGGGCACTCTTACACTGGGTGTGGGAATGTGTACGAAAGTTTTGGGAAGAACTGGGCAAATTCTTTCAATTTTAAATGAACATTCCTTCTGGACCTGTATTTTCACTTTTAGGGGTCTAATCTACAGAAATGTTTGCATACATATATTGAGGTTTTCCTCTGCAGCATTATTATTATTATTATTATTATTTTGAGTTGGAGTCTTACTCAGTCGCCCAGACTGGAGTGCAGTGGCCGCTCCCAGCCACCGCAGCCTCGCCTGCTGGGCTCCGGCAATCCTTCCGCCTCAGTATTCCGAGTAGCTGGAATTACAGGCATGCGCTACCACGCCCGGCTGATTTTTTGATTTATTGTAGAGATGAGGTCTCGCCGCCCAGGCATGTCTTGAACCTGCGGGCTCAGGCAATCCGCTCACCTCAGCCTCCCAAAGGCGCGGGATTACAGGCTGAGCCACCGAGCCCGGCTTAGCATTATTTTTTTTTTAAATAAGGCAGTTTTCCAGGGTTGTTTTTTAAAATAGTGGTTAAAAAAAATTACATAGAATTTACCATCTTAATCGTTTCTAAATGAACAGATAGCATTATTTTTGATTGGCAAGGAAGGAAGGAAAAAGAAGAAGGAAAGAAGGCAGGGAGAGAGAAAGCAAGCAAAGAAAATGAAGTGAAATGAATTAAATTTTTATTTTCCCTCAATAGGAGGAAAATTTAGTTTATATCATGGAATACTATTCAGATTTTTTTTAATGTATGTTAAGTCGATATGCATTTTCTGTAAAAGATAAAGCAAGTGAAAAGTGTAACTTGCAATACAATGTGTGTAATATGATCTCATTTATGTGAACAAAATGCTATAATATGAGGGGGC